AGACCTGTGGACAATGCCACTGTATCCCCTCATTCACCAGCTGATGCCACCCTCCAAAGCTTCCTGTTCCTGGCACAGGAGGCAGTATGTCATCTGCAGCTGAAATCTAATTCACTGTCCACAGAGCGGAGCAATAATGTAATTAGTGATTTTTACATGAACTGCCAAGCAGCCCACGCGGCCCTCCGTTTAGTAATGCTTACCAGACCAATACTGACGTAAGTGGGGGCCTCGAAGGTTTGCTCTTTACACAGGGAAAATTATACAGTGTTCACAAAGCCTATTGAGGTGGAAATATACAGCAAAATGAATACACACCCCGGTAATGGCTGAAATGGGCTCAATGGAATACAGTACATTGTCCTACCGTTTAATCTATACGATTCGTCAGGGATTTAACACACCCTCTCGACACTTGATGGGTGTACATTTTTTGTGGAATTAAAAAAAGTTATAATTTAATACAATTTAAATGTTTACAAATTAGATGCACTGAAATGAAAGCAACTTGCGAAAATGAACACTCGGATTAAAGTGAGATTATGTCTGATCTCGCTAACAATGTAAAGTATGTTTAGATAGGTGTAATATAGAGCCAAGCGTGTTGATTTATAATCTGAGGGTATCCTGCTATTGACACACTTGTTGAATTATGCAAGACAGCGCGACAACAACAGTTATTAATGAGGCAGTCTAGACAGCGCAGGTGAGCGCAGGTAGGGTAGACAGAGCAAGTGTTTGGTGGTTGCAGCCCTGTTCCACCCCTTTATGTTAATTTATTTGAGTATTTTCATTCATTGTCCGACTGTTGCATTTATTAGAATTGTTTTCAAAACATTTTAACAATTTCGATGACCTTTGCTAACGTCAACAATAACTTAGTAAAGGTGGCAAAAGAAACTCTATAATACAGTGACAATGATCGGTAATTCATATTGTGCCCATCAACACTTGCACCTTGCATATACTGTACCTCTACAATGAGTTAACTGGAAAATCTCCAACTAGACCTGAAACTGTGTGAAAGCTTATTTCATTGTTCCAGGCTTTTGTGGGGACATTCACACTGGTCACAACATTACAGTCATGTTGACTAGGGTGCTATAGAAGCCGGCCAAGCTCAGTCATCCTCCAACAAAAGAGCTTTAGCAAGCTTACACATCAGCGAGCGTCTGCACATTTTTCCAATTTCACAAATTGCGTAAACAAACCGTCAGTCATAAAAACTTTAAAGGATGACCTCACCCCCAAATACTTTTTACCTCATCTCCCTTCAAGTTGAAACACAACTCTAATGCTACTAATATTCCAAACTGAATACCTGGGTATATCGGTACCACATTTGCCACAGCCATGTCTTGTAATCAATATTGACTTGTACAGCAAATATTGTGTATTCATTAATTACTCAAATGATGTTTGGACAAATCCATAACAGTGAAGTTAATACATCTCCCAGACAGGGCTATCAGATGTTCATGCAGTTGTTGTGTTTGTGCTGAATGTATCCAAACTGATCCCTCAACCCTTTTATATTTCCCTGAGCCAATGTCTCCTGTGAGATCTCCCAAACCCTATCAATACCATGCTGGTTGTAACAACACATCTACTTAAGTGTGGAAGGGTAGGAAGGTATCAATATACTGTAGCAAAAACAGTGTTACCCTACAACTGAACAAAATGATCAATGCCGTTTTGTGTAAAAAGCCTCCTCAGTACACAATGATTAGCTCTTACAGCCAGAGCAGTGAAGGGAATCATGAAATATTCATGCAGGGCTGGGGATATGTTGTCCTCCCTGCCCCTACTCCACAGCTCCAGCAGACACTGAACGAGTGGGAAGTGCAGTAACCCCAGTAACAGCTGGTCTGCAGCTGCGCACACTCACACCCCATGGGCTTGACAACAGGCCTGGGAGAACAGCTTGATGTTTACATCTAAAAAAGCAACTTTGAAGGTACTTTAGGCACTTCTACTGTGAGGACCAGGTTTTAAGACAATTCAGAAACTTTCCATGACACTACTGGCCTAAACTAGAGCAGAAAATACCACATTGTTTGAGCAAAATGAACCATTAAAACGTATCTCAATAGATGGATTTGCTCAGTGAACATGTTAGACATTGTCTCCATCTTGTGGCCAAAACCTAATGTTGTCTTCTCAGTGGATATACTCAGATCAACAGTATTAATAGTAGTCTGTTATTGTGACTTCAAGGTAACAGGTTGTATGTTGACATCTGAACATATAGGTATATTTGATACAACAGTCTTATCTGAATCTACAATGACACTTCACTTGAACATTAACTTGGTTTTGCTTGAGATGTGTATGAATAAAAATTAATAAAAATAAAAAATATATGCACTCACTAACTGTAAGTCGCTCTGGATAAGAGCGTCTGCTAAATGACTAAAATGTAAAATGTAAATGTGCCAAGGTATTCAGACTTCAACCTGAATATGATACTGCAGGAGGAGTCTGGGGAAATAAATAGAGTAGCATAGCATGTGATACCTAAAGAGGAGTCCAGTAAATATAAAAGTGCTCTCTGCTGTCACAGCGGAACATTGTAGTAAAGGCCAGATTGGTCAGATAGACACAATGCTCCAAATAATTTACTTTTGAAAGTGATTTGACACAAAATATTTATGCAGATCAGTTTTGTTTTCGCTCTATAATACCTGGACAGAGATGTGGATATCTCAAACTCAGTCTCCATTTTCTCCTCCTGGCTGATGCCTTCTAGCTGATGAAGTTCTACCACAATCCTCTCTGCTTTTCGATGATTAGACTCTGCTTCCTCAAGAGTTGGGATGGTTAAAGAGTATTGCATAGTCAACATTAAAGCAGTACTACACTAATTTAACCTTGGACATTTAACCGTTCAGTTGTTTGAATTCACATTTAGACAATCATTCTCCTAATGTTTTTGGGGCTTTCATTACAAATATCTAATCATTCTCCTAATGTTTATCCTAATGCTCAGGCCTATTTCCTTGAGCCAGAGCTTTATCCAGACAGATTACCCGAGCATGCACTGACCAGCTGGCAAGTGTCTTCACTGACATTTTCAACCTCTCACTGACCCAGTCTGTAATACCAACATGTTAAAAGCAGACCACCATAGTCCCCGTGCCCAAGAACGCCAAGGTAACCTGTCTAAATGACTACCGCCCCGTAGCACTCACATCTATAGCCATGAAATGCTTTGAAAGGCTGATTATGGCTCACATCAACACCATCATCACAGAAACTCTGGCCCACTTCAATTCGCATACCGGACCAACAGATCCACAGATGATGCAATCTCTATTGCACTCCACACTGCCCTTTCCCACCTGGACAAGAGGAACACCTACGTGAGAATGCTATTCATTGACTACAGCTCAGCGTTCAACACCATAGTGCCCTCCATGTTCATTACTAAGCTAAGGACCCTGGGACTGAACACATCCCTCTGCAACTGGATCCTGGACTTCCTGACGGGCCACCCCCAGGTGGTGAGGGTAGTTAACAACACATCCGCAACGCTGACCGTCAACACTGGGGCCCCTCAGGGATGCGTGCTCAGTCCCCTCCTGTACTCCCTGTTCACCCACAACTGCGTGGCCGCGCACGAGTCCAACACCATCATTAGCGGTACAGCGGTAGGCCTGATCACCGACAATGATGAGACAGCCTATAGGGAGGAGGTCAGAGACCTGGCAGTTTGGTGCCAGGACAAAAACCTCTCCCTCAACGTGGGCAAGACAAAGGAGCTTATCGTGGACTACTGGAAACGGAGGTCCGAACACGCCCCCATTCACATTGACGAGGCGGTAGTGGAGCGGGTCGAGAGCTTCAAGTTCTTTGGTGTCCACATCACTAAGGACCTATTATGGTCCAAACACACTAACACAATCGTGAAGAGGGCACGACAACAGCTCTTCCCCCTCAGGAGGCTGAAAAGATTTGGCATGGGCCCTCAGATCCTCAAAAAGTTCTACAGCTTTACCATTGAGAACATCTTGACTGGCTGCATTACATCTTGGTATGGCAACTGCTCGGCATCCAACCACAAGGCGCTACAGAGGGTAGTGCGTATGTCCCAGTACATCACTGGGGCCGAACTCCCTGCCATCCAGGACCACTATACCAGGCGGTGTCAGAGGAAGGCCCTAAAAACTGTCAAAGACTCCAGCCACCCAAGTCATAGACTGTTCTCTCTGGTACCGCATGGCAAGCAGTACCGGAGCGCCAAGTCTGGGACCAAAAGGCTCCTGAACAGCCTCTACCCCCAAGCCATAGGACTGCTGAACAGTTAATCGAATGTCTATCCGGACAATTTACATTAACCCCCTTTATTATTTATTTTTGTATCTTTATTTTTCTGCACTGACTCTCTTGCACTGGCTCTACCCACATACTCACACATACTACACTGACACTCTAACACACACACACACACATACTAAATACGCTCACACACACAAAACACACACACACATGCATATTGACGCCACACACACACACACACACACACACAAACTTTCACACTCTTCACATACACTGCTGCTACTCTGTTTATTATATATCCTAATTGCCTAGTCACTTTTACCCTCACCCACATGTACATACTGTATTTTCTCAATTACCTCAACTACCTCGTACCCCTGCACATTGACTCTGTACTGGTACTCCTTGTATATAGCCTCGTTATTGTTATTGTGTTACTATTTCCTTTTTTATTTAGCAAATATTTTTTATACTTTTTAACTCTGCATTGCTGGGAATGGGCTCGTAAGTAGTCATTTAATGGTAAAGTATCGTAAGTTATAAATTGTGGTTGTGCATGCATTGCTGGAAAACTGATGTTGGAAGAAAAAAAAGTATATACCTGTTGTATTCGGCGCATGTGACCAATAAAATTAGATTTATCACAGGAACAACGTGGGTAAAGGATATTTAGCCAGCAGCAGAGAGGCGCGTCCCTGTGTTAGGTATATGTTGAGGAGACAGGTGAGGATGTGGACCCTGTCTTCCCGGCTGGTGGAGCTGGGGGTGCAGAAGGGGAGCAGGTCACTGGCTCTGGCTGAGTGCTCCTGGGCCTGCACTGCCCAGCCTGGGGGAATCAGAGACAACACACCGGTCATTCCAAGATTTGGTAAGGTATTAATATATACAATATTAACCGTTATAAACTCTTTATAAATGGTACCTCATTGTCAAGGCTAATGACAACATAATTCACCTTTAAACTGTAGGTATGCTTTAGCCAGTCTGACATGGGCTTGGGCTAGTTTCAGGTGCCCATCTCCGTACACCAGTCTTGTAAGAGCCACACAGCGGACAACGTCCTGGATACAAGCATCAAACTGTCCGGACAAACATTTCATTATTGTTGACGTACAGGACCAACAAGGTGCAGTACTGAAAAAAGCCTTTATGCTGAGTGGTACTGTACATGCATTATACCTTTGATACGAGAATGATACAATTCCTGAACTTGACAGTGACTATGACATCTACAGAAGGTTAAGACCACGTTCACACACTTTGCAGGTATCTCTGGTTATAGTACTATCCACCTCACCCCATTGCATGCAGGTGTCAGTATGGAAAGCAACTGAAAAACCTTTATAGGCCTACCTGTTGAGTGTCTGCAAAGGCTTGGGCCCTGCTGTCATACTGTGTAAGTTTTTCCTCAGGAGTCATCATCATAGACTCTCCCATGTCATCCATTCCTCTCTGAGAGACACTTGCCAATCCTTTATCACTATGAGGAGATTCCCCTGAGTTGCCACTAATGCTTCTGGTGCTTTCAAATGATCTGCATGGGTATCACAATCATCATCATCATCAGCAGCAGCACCAGCAGCATCATTCTAATAATAGACATGCACAATTCACATTGACTCTAAGGCGCAGAATTGATCTCTTCGAAAGGAAAGTATTTTTTTCCAACATCAGTTTTCCAGCAATGCATGCACAACCACAATTTATAACTTACGATTCTTCACCTTCAACTAATCCAAGTCCTGGTTTGGAGCGTGTGTTTGTCATTGGATAATTATAATTCATTTTAATGTAAAAAGAGAAACCTTTTGCAGAATAATTTCATGCCATGTTTGTTTCTTTTTTACATCCGTTGTCGTGGATACGGCAGTGAGAGTGATGAGCAAAGGTTCATCATAAATCGATGCGCGACATTTGATTTTTTATTTTGTTGGTTGTATTCATCATACAACCACAAACAGTTAGCTCGGTTTGATTATACAAGCAAGCATCCACTAATATAAAACTTAAAAATCCAAAAGAGCTAAATGTAACTGCCTGATCAAATGTCACGTGACCTCCGGAGAGCGAGCAGAACAGGAGTGCATTCAAGACCGACAATGTTCCACAGCACCCTAACAACTCTATGCAGGTGCAAATATTTGTGTAGACATATTATTGTTTTATGTCAAATCATGCTTAGTTTTTAGCTAGAATTATGAAGAAAAAAAAAAAATATATATATAATGATATAACGCCTACTTCTCAGACCCAGGTGTGTCTGACAACAGCTGATAAGGTGGCAGGCTGTAGCTAAAAATAACAATTTATGGGGAACATGCATGTAGTCTAGCTTTTTAGGCTATTGCTGCATTTTGACTAAATAATTAGCCTACCCTTATTTTGTGTATTTTGCTACCGGTGGTGATAGTGATGGTTTGTCGGGACTGATGGTTTCTATGGTATTATGGTTAAATTAAGTAGGCCTACAGCTAAGGACAGAAGTGACTTTACATAGCAGGTGAGGAGAACAAACGCAACAGGTTAGGAGAATTAGGTTAGGAGAATTAGGTAACGGTTAGGGTTTAACTAAAACGCTACAGTTGTCAACAACTGTTGTCCCCGACGTGACGACTAGATGGAGCTGTACCCCATCTAGCCACAACAATCTGTCCCAACATACCATCAGTATCATAACACCAGAAACGGCTCCCTGATGAGAAGAGGGCATGGAACGTTCAAGCGTGGAATTTGCATAGTGGCGATTCCGCCGGTGTGCCATTTGTCTGGGTTCTGTAATTGGATGACTCAGGAGGGGTACCCTGTTCCTGGAGTGCAGGAGTTAAATAAAAAATATGAAGTGCCTACGGCCCTCCAGGACCAAATCAAATTGTGTTTGTCACATGCGCCGAATACAACAGGTGTAAACGTTGCCGTGAAATGCTTACTTACAAGCCCTTAACCAACAATGCAGTTCAAGAAATAGAGTTTAAAAAATATTTACTAAATAAACTAAAGTAAAAAATACAATAAAAAGTAACTCAATAAAATAACAATAATGAGGCTATATACAGGGGGTACTGGTACCGACTCAATGTGAGGGGCTACAGGTTAGTCGAGGTAATTTGTACATACATGTAGTGGTAAAGTGACTATGTATAGATAATAAACAGCGAGTAGGGGGGGATGTCAATGTTCAGCAATCTTATGGCTTGGGGGTAGAAGCTGTTATGGAGCCTTTTGGACCTAGATTTGGCGCTCCAGTACCGCTTGCTGTGCGGTAGCAGAGAAAACTGTCTATGACTTGGGTGACTGGAGTCTATGACAATTTTTTGGGCCTTCCTCTGACACCGTCTAGTATATATCAGAATAATGATTTATTTCAGCTTTTATTTCTTTCATCACATTCCCAGTGGGTCAGAAGTTTACATACACTCAATTCGTATTTGGTAGCATTGTTTAACTTGGGTCAAACGTTTTGGGTAGCCTTCCACAAGCTTCCCACAATAAGTTGGGTGAATTTTGGCCCATTCCTCCGGACAGAGCTGGTGTAACTGAGTCAGGTTTGTAGGCCTCCTTGCTCGCACACGCTTTTTCAGTTCTGCCCACACATTTTCTATAGGATTGAGGTCAGGGCTTTGTGATGGCCACTCCAATACCTTGACTTTGTTGTCCTTAAGCCATTTTTCCAAACTCAGTGCCTCTTTGCTTGACATCATGGGAAAATCAAAAGAAATCAGCCAAGACCTCAGAAAAAAAATTGTAGACCTCCACAAGTCTGGTTCATCCTTGGGAGCAATTTCCAAACGCCTGAAGGTACCACGTTCATCTGTACAAACAATAGTATGCAAGTATAAACACCATGGGATCACACAGCCATCATACCGCTCATGAAGGAGACGCGTTCTGTCTCCTAGAGATGAACGTACTTTGGTGCGAAAAGTGCAAATCAATCCCAGAACAACAGCAAAGGACCTTGTGAAGATGCTGGAGGAAACAGGTACAAAAGTATCTTATCCACAGTAAAACGAGTCCTATATCGACATAACCTGAAAGGCCGCTCAGCAAGGAAGAAGCCACTGCTCCAAAACCGCCATAAAAAAGCCAGACTATGGTTTGCAACTACACGGGATCGTACTTTTTTGAGAAATATCCTCTGATCTGATGAAATAAAATTTTTACTTTTTGGCAATAATGACCATCGTTATGTTTGGAGGAAAAAGGGGGTTGCTTGCAAGCCGAAGAACACCATCCCAACCGTGAAGCACGGGTGTGCCAGCATCATGCTGTGGGGGTGCTTTGCTGCAGGAGGGACTGGTGCACTCCACAAAATAGATGGCATCATGAGGAAGGAAAATTATGTGGATATATTGAAGCAACATCTCAAGACATCAGACAGGAAGTTAAAGCTTGGTCGCAAATGCGTCTTCCAAATGGACAATGACCCCAAGCATACTTCCAAAGTTGTGGCAAAATGGCTTAAGGACAACAAAGTCAAGGTATTGGAGTGGCCATCACAAAGCCCTGACCTCAATCCTATAGAACATTTGTGGGCAGAACTGAAAAAGCATGTGCGAGCAAGGAGGCCTACATACCTGACTCAGTTACAACAGCTCTTTCAGGAGGAATGGGCCAAAATCCACCCAACTTATTAAGGCTACCCGAAACATTTGACCCAAGTTAAACAATTTAAAGGCAATGCTGCTAAATACTAATTGAACTTCTGACCTACTGGGAATGTGATGAAAGAAATAAAAGCTGAAATAAATCATTCTCTCTACTATTATTCTGACATTTCACATTCTTAAAATAAAGTGGTGATCCTAACTGACCTAAGACAGGGAATTTTTACGAGGATTAAATGTCAGGAATTGTGAAAAACTGAGTTTAAATGTATTTGGCTAAGGTGTATGTAAACTTCCGACTTCAACTGTACATCCACAGGTACACCTCCAATTACATTTTACATTTTAGTCATTTAGCAGACGCTCTTATCCAGAGCGACTTACAGTTAGTGAGTGCATACATTTTTCATACTGGCCAATTAGCCTATCAGAAGCTTCTAAAGCCATGACATCATTTTCTGGAATTTTCCAAGCTGTTTAAAGGCACAGTCAACTTAGTGTATGTAAACTTCTGATCCACTGGAATTGTGGTACAGTGAATTATAAGTGAAATAATCTGTCTGTAAACAATTGTTGGAAAAATGACTTGTGTCATGCACAAAGTAGATGTCCTAACCGACTTTCCAAAACTATAGTTTGTTACCAAGACATTTGTGGAGTGGTTGAAAAACAAGTTTTAATGACTCCAACCTAAGTGAATGTAAACTTCCGACTTCAACTGTACAGTAGGTTCGGTTTGCTCCTAGCATAACTCAGCTAGGCGAAACGACCATCTGTGCTCTCATACTCCTTCACTTGAAAAATGACCTTTACTTGAAAAATTTGATAAAAGAGGCAAAATTACTGTTGTTTGCCCCTCTTGAGCCTTAGCAACAACATGGCCAGAAACACTTCCTCAAAAGGGTCATTATTAATCTAAGATAAATCAAGAAATCTGTCATGAATTTTGACGTTTTTGCCGAGTAGTGCATTTTACATCTAGCTAAGATGTTTGGTGCAGTATTTATCAAGTACATTTTTTTTTGCATGAAAGCTAGTTGTCTCTCAGTTGAATGACAACAAACACTTCCTGTTCCCACTCCTACTAGTAGTAGTACTGTTGACCAATCACCGACGAAGGGGCAAAGACTTCGGCTACCTAGCTTCGACTTGACAAAAAAAAAAAATATTGTGTGCAAGAACAGCCGAACAAAACCCTGCTAAAGACAAAAACGTGACAAAATGTTGTCAGAATATACTGTATGTGCGAACTGTTTAGACTGGGAAGCATACAGTAAGCTTTAGGATAATGTGCCAGGGTGGGTTTTTTATTTTGTGCCGGGGTGCGTTCATAATGTTCACCTGTAGGCCTTGACTGATCCAACATAGTTTGCTTCAAAGTATACTTTTTTATAGTATATACTTTTTGAAGTTTTGCTACCATTTATACAATAAACCGTAAAACTTGTTGTATCCCCATTCATTTCAATGGTGGAATGCAGGCTTCAACATTCTAAACTGAAATGCCACAGAACTTTCAGAATTCAAACTAAAACATAAAAACACATAAAAAGGAAATTGCATTTTCTAGTTATTTATATTATTGTTTGGCGCTTGTTAGAGCTTCCAAATGTGGCCAGTGTGCCGATTGTGAAATGTGGCCCTGTGTCGATTATGATATGTGGCCCATGTACCGAATGTGAAATATGGCCTGTGTGCCAATTAGGAAATGTGATCCGTAGCCTATGCCAATTGTCTGACAGAGGGACAAAATACCCCAAACAACCATAAAATATTGGGTTTCAGAAAGACCAATGGTATGGGTTTCAGGCCTCAGGACTCGGAAGATATGGTGTTAACCTACAAATCTACCAAAGTACAGACATGAATGCTGGTCAGCCAATGAGTGGTAAGACCCCACCTTTGATCTACGGTGCAATCCGAGGCAGGCACAGTCCATTCAATGACAAAAAAATAAAATATATATCTTCTCTGTGGGTTGCCACCTTGTCGTGGTAGAGGACCTTGTGAGTCCCAAAGATCCCAAGAGGGGGAGGTTCCAGACTAAGAGTGATCCAAAACAAATTTCCAGAATGGAAAACATTGCCATCAGTTTGTCAAAACCACTCTTACTGCAACACACAGTCCTTTAACGCTTAAGTTATACCCAACGTAAGTACGCAA